AAATATTATAGGATAAAACCATGGGGAGACTTTCATTACATCTGAAAAGGTCGCTCCCCCTATCCTAAAAGCAGAATCCAGTATGCTTACTGGACATTTAAGTCTCAGTCCTAACTCATACATACTACAAACTAAATCCCATATGAGTTCAAGTAAACAGGGTAAGGACCAAACGGTTAAGGTTCTCAGTTTTGTTTCCAGGTATCCTGGGTTTCATGCTGTTGGGAAGTGCTCCCCCTGCAGGCTTCCCCATAACACTGCAGTGCATTCATGCACCCCCTGTGGTTTCCCTGGCTTTTCTCCAGCATTTCCCAAAGTTGCTTTGCTCCAAAGCTTTGGGAGGAGTCATAGCAAAGCCTGGATGGCTGCTTTATGGGTGGGAAAGTGTGGATTTCTCCAGTCCCACCCACATCGTGTCATTTTCCCTGCACATCACTGCAGCAGCCATTTCCTTCCCACACCAACAGAGGGCTTTTAAAACTAAACAACTGAATATTGTCATAAGGCTATAATCTGTACATCAGGTTCTCCCGGGTTTCCTTTTAAAACAAAGTTTCTAGCCCCTTTTGTTGCAGAGAAATAGGAGAAAGGCATATTTCTACACTGAAAGGCCCAGAGACTTACTTTAAAATGGAACTGGAACTTCAGAGCACCTAATACACAGTTATAACTATGTAACAATATTTAATGTCTGTTTTAAAAAAACTAAAACTGGAAAAGCCACTACCCCGGGGTATTGGGTAGGGAAATTATGGGGAAACCTGCCACATGTAAACCCTGTTGTTGCTTTCCCCATGTGGAAAATGTATATAAGCACCTTTTATTCAAACCCATCGTTGTTGTTTTTCCGTTGGAATGTCTAATGCAAAAGGTCTTGTTTATTCATTTAAGCAGTCCCTATTCACCTGGCCCAATTCTAGACTCCACTAACTTACTCCTGAAATACCACATATCTATAAATGTGAACAGTGACACAGCAGTGCAGGGGAGAACAAGCAGGCATTATGCCCAACCTTTTCCTCACTTTAAACTACAGAAGGGGAAAGGCCGCTGGATAACGGGAATCCCACGTACCTGTGCTTCTCCACCTCACATTCCCTTTGAAACCCATTTCTCAGAATGAGCTTGCAAAGAAAACATTTTATTATCCATTCAGCAATGAAAAAAGATCAAACAGTTTGCTAAAGGGTTTGGAACCTGACTGGATTTTTGGTAATTTGGCTTCATCGCCATCATTGCTGCTACTAGCCAACAGATCCTCTCGTCATCTGAAGAGAGTCACAGTAGCTATTTGGTACGTATCAAGACAAAAAAGAATTACAGTGAGCTTCTGGCAAAGAACCACATTCAAAGTTATTAACAGCGCACCTGAGCCTCACCACTTTAAGGAAACTGGTGAAGGTATATAGAACTTTAACATGCAAACTGTAACAAAAGAGGGTTTCATATAACAGGTTGACACTGAAAAGCAAATGCAACTTTATCTTGAAAAGCAGAAGAAATACATACCTGCTTCCCCCCCTAAAAAAATTCGGAAACGTTTTTCTCCTTGTATCATGCCACAGAGGTTCTAAGGATGGTCCTTACCATAGGTGACATTCCCAAACATCTGATTATAGTCCCCTCAAAAAATAAGCATTTGCCTGAAATCAATAGCTTGCACCAATAGGTTTGATTCTTTTGAGGTGGGATCCAACCCTCAAAATTTCCATGGGAGGGAGTGATTCCCACCAAACTCTCCTGCCGCAGCAGATCTCTGACTCCCCCCAAGCTATTCCTGGGGGCCCCCCATCCCCGAGGAGCAGTATTGGGGAGGGGGGTCATGCCAGGCTATAGCATGAAGTGGGCAGTCACACTTCTTCAGACAGAAATCCCTCCACCTTGCATGAATTTTACGTGGGATTAAGGCAATGTTTATTGTTCACTTAAAACGTTATGGGCACTCATTTCTTAAAAAGGGATTCCCAGCTATCTTCAGATGAGGGATCAGGGAAACCAGAATCTGAGCAAACCATTAAGGAAAAGCTCAAAATTCTCAAGAAGACCTAAATTGCCCTTAGACTTTTTTTAAAAAAATCTCTAACTGTAATTCTCTAACCCCAGTAACAGCTGAAGCAGCTTGTTATGGCTTATTTGTATATTGTCTTCCTTCTGCCTAGCAAAAGTGACATTTTTTTCAGTACAGGGTTACCAAGACCACCCCCAAAGAAAGATAGCAAATATGCAACCAACCAGCAAGTAATGGAGAGGAACACTGAGGCGGCCTTCCAGGATGTGGGCAGAAGAGAAGATCAAGATTAGAGTGGCATGCATTAAGTCACACGGGCATTTCTCTGAACGACTGAGAAGCTGGGGAAAGCATCCTGCTGCCATCTATGTGCACTGTACCAAGATCACCTGACAAGGAACACACATAAGACTGGGACAGACTTCGGCACTGGGATCTTGTTCCATCCACTCACGCACATGTTCATTACACACACAAACCCCTCCAAATGCTGTACAAGAAACAGCTAAAGGGAACTGTGCCCAAGGCACTGGCAACCTTACAAGGCTGTAGCAATGCAGTCAAGGGAAGCTGACAAAAATGCCAGGAAAAGCCAGAACGATGGGAATTTTGTCACCGAGATTTACAGCCAGCAGAGCACCCCAGCTGTGCCCTAGGCTGACAGCTGACTCTCCCTGAAATGGTACAGTGAAGTGCACTGTATGCACTGAAATATATGCAGACTCTGAGCAAAAGACCAGATCCTGTTTAGTTGTTTTGATTCCATTTGATGCAGATAAGTAGGCTGCTTTTTTTTTTTTGCTTGGGGCAGAGCTAGGTAGTTCTGCCCCATAGGATACAACATTTCCAGGACAAGGGGGGGGGGGGGGGGGGGGGGGGGCGAGAGAACAACCCGTCTCTATCAACCTAACTGCATCATCTGCTGTAAGCATTCAAACAGGGAGAAATCCATGTTGGTCAATCAGAAATCTCGCTTGGAATCTCAGGTAACTGTTTTGCTGCAAGTATAAAAAAAAGTTATGTGTTTTATAAAAGAAATCCAATAGGTGGCATAACACCCAGCTCTGGAATTAAGTATTTTATGAAACTCAGTTTAAAACTCAGGTTTAGTGAGCATTTAGAATAAGCTATCCAACACTTGCAGCTGGAATTGAAGGGGGGTGAATTAGGACCCTGCGTTCTTTCACTTGTTAAACTGCAGCCAGAACCTCAAAGAGCCATACTGAGTCAGAATCTATTCTGACTACATGTTTTAAAGCATCAGATAATCTGCAAGTATCTCTCATTCACATGAGATTCAAATCCAGTTGCCTTGAAAGCCAAGACACTTTTCATGATGTCAGTGTAGTCTCTTGTGAACTTGTCCGAGACAAAACTGCAGCAAAATGGGGGCCCCCAACAAATGCCCCTCGAAACACGTTTATATTAATATGTAGCAAACAGAAGTAATATTCCTCCCTCTCCTTTTGTTTGCAAAAAACCAAGGGTTCAAATGCAGATTAAGGTGAACGGCTTCTTTTTTTTCAAAACTCATGTAGATTAATTATTCTCTTTCCAAGAAAGATTCTGACTAGGGAACAGTAAGGAGGTTGCATCATCATCATCTATAGCTTCATGCCACCGGCAACTTTAAAAGAACTGCTGCTTCTTCACTGACTTCATTAAGGCTATTTGGCTCAACAGGGATGTTTACTGTAAACACACCAGCCAAAACGAAATGACACTCATTTCATGGGGGAGGGGGGAGATCCGGTGTTTTTTGTTTTTTAATCAATGCTCATGTGTATATGTTAATTAATTATATAATAATTATATCATACAAAGGCATGGGTGTTGCTTTCTCACACACCACTATCTAATAAACACTTTCTGGCTTACTGACAAACAGCCCCAAATCACAAGGCTCAATGCCAGAGATCCAGCTGCAAGGCCAAACTTTGAAGAGCTCTGTGAATTTGAAGGATTACACATTTTTGATTGGAATGGGAAGACCTCCTTGACGTTGATGAAGAAAGCACCTGGTATTCTGAAACCTTGCATCCTTGGTCCATAGCCTACTTTATTGTCTCCTTGCCTTGTTTGCACCCCTCTATGCTGCAGGCCTTGTACATGAAGCACCGTTGTCAAAAGGCTTGCATTGTTAAGGAATTCTCCCTTACACCTGTGCACAACAGCCGCAGTCCAAATGTGGGTGAAGAGGGCTCAAGAGTTGTTCAGAATATGGAGTCTACCCTGCTGCCTCCACCTGCCCCACCCCTCACTGAGTATAATCGATGTGTACAAAATGGTGGTGATACACTGAAGCCCTGCCCTCAGTGACATGCCCCAGAACGAGGGACGACGGAGACGTATTAAAGGAGATGTGCACAATCAGCCTCCTGAGTAGAGAGTCATTGCCAGCAACACTGTCAACAACAGCAGAACAGTGCAGGTTCTCAAGGTCCGTACACATCAGCAATAGCTGGGAAAAGACAACTGAAGCCAAGTAATTACGCAAAAGCCACTTCAGCTCCCATATTCAAGACCTTTTACCAAGTGGTTACCCATTTGGTAATCATCTTCTCAAGCCCACCTGCCAAATGACTGGAAAGTAAAGGCCAATTCTGCTTTTCAGCCTCCCAAAATGAGCTTCGTCTGCAGGCAACACGTCTCCCACCATGGAAATGAGCTAAGCCACCTGCTACTATTGACCCCAGGTCAATAAACTAGTTAGTAACTGTATCCACCTGCCAAATGACCGGAAAGTAAAGGCCAATTTTGCTTTTCAGCCTCCCAAAATGAGCTTAGCCTGCAGGCAACACGTCTTGCACCATGGAAATGAGCTAAGCCACCTGCTAATATTGACCCCAGGTCAATAAACTAGTTAGTAACTGTACTGTCAAAGGGCAATGAGAGCTTACCGCACCTCAGGGGCAGATGGGTGGCAGAATGGCTGCCTGCATCCACCCAATATCTCCGGGCTAAGCAGAGAAGTAACTGAACTGCATGACGAAGAAAGGGACTGGCTTCTTTACTTCTTTAAGAGTTTCTATTTGGTTTCCCCAGGAACTTCTAACCAGAGGTGAGAAAGGATTTGTAGTCATGTGGTAAGTATAAATAGAGACGGGGCAAAGGCATGTAACCACAAGCTGGTAGTATTAAAACCCTTCAATAGTAGCTGAAGCTCACAATTGTATCTCCCAGTCACAATGAAACAGCAAGTTTAAATTCACCCTCAAAGTCTGTAAGAAATACAGTTAGACATTCTCAGATCTGCATGTCTGTTGGAGATAACAGCAGCCCTGTTCCCACTCCCCCCTCTAAATGCCATCAGAGGAAAGAAAATGAAATGGATGACATGATGTCAGTACTAGGGATGGGCAAGAACCGGTTCACGAGCCAAAAGTCGGCACCAACTTGGCCTATTTTGGAGCCCCCGAACCAAAGTTTGGGGTTACCAGACTTTTGTCCGGTTCAGCTGTTTGGGCCATTTAAACCTACCAGCTGAGCAGCATGGATCCACAGATGACCTGTTAGGCTTCAGTGGCTGTGATCTATTTCACTGGTCGGTTTTGCCTCCCCCCCCCCCCGCTCCGAAGCACAGCCAGGAGAAAGGGGGATCTGAACTGGCTGGTTCAGTCTGGGGCATTTTTGGCTCAGTTCCGGGCCTGCCCCAAACTGGAGTTTTATGGTTCATTCCCATCCCTAGTCAGTACACTTTAAGCTGTCCTGCTGCAAGTAGCAGACAATAAAAGCAACTCAAGGAAGGATGGGGAAATCAGAGCTCAGTGATCCAATGCAAGGTCAAGTGTTCTGTCAAGTCAAGAGAGGAGGAGACGAGAGACAACGTAAGACTGCTGGTTTGGGGAGCAGCCATGCTTTTCTCATCATGTCTCCTCCTGTGTACAGCATCCAGAGAATTCCATGTCAGAAATTCAAGGTGGGCCAGATAAAACCCAACCTAGTGCTAACACAGATTTTGAATACAGACGCTCCAAAGCCACCTGAACAAAAGGTGGTTCTGTCAGGAACAGAAAATGGTCCTTGTGGCTCCCCCTCAACAGAATCACAGGAGTTTTCCGAGGGAGAGAAAAACAGTAATAAATAGTTCTGTGGTCTCTTCTCTGCATACGAAGCTTCATGTGATCTTCAGTGGCGATTTCTTGTGTGCACAGAGGAGGGTGACATAAGGAACACCAATGAACGCCCATCTCTCACTGGGCCAGAACTTTATGACAGGGCCTTGTTCAGGGATCTCCGAGACAGCGTCGAAATAGGCAAAACAGACACAACCCAGGTAAGAGGCAAGGCAGATGAGGATGTGCCTATGAGAGGAGAGAAACAAAGGGTAAGGCCAGCAAAAAGCACACTGCCCAAAAGACGCCTCAGGTTCCTTCTTCCAAAGGACAATTAGCACAATCATGACGTTTCCCTTGAGGATATCGCCCTTGTTCAGCCAAACTTAACATACAGGGTGAGTGTGAAGACAGAATGCGAAGCTCCTTGGAGGAAGTTCAGGATAAAAATGGAACAAAAACTCTCACTGATAACTTGGATATAAGACTTGTATGCATGTACAGAGGTGTGCTTATGTGCCACTATGAAACCCAAGAACATCAGCGCAGAATCTTCTATTACTTGGATATGAATATATAAGCATGCTGTAAGGCTGCATACAGATATACCTGGAAATCAGGGCTCGATGCTTGTTTCCCTCACAATCCCTTTGACAAATGTACCACTGTCTAATCAAACATTGATCCAGGACTCTGCTCCCCCCTCCCACACACACACCCATTTCTGGTAGGTAATCTGCTTCTTTTTTAAAGAAAACTTTTAAAGCGAAGCATGAATGTTCAGGCACTTGTTTTTGCCTGGTGCCTGATTTGCAAACAAAATCAATAAAACTGACATTTTGAACAGTAACAAAAAATCCTCTGTAAGAAGGGGAAGAAAGTTACTGAGTTACATCACTGGGCTCAGCCAATCTGCTCTCTCTATGGGAAGCATGTGCAGAATCAGATCACGGGAAGCCTGAAGTGGATCCTGAATGGGGGAAAGAAAGTCCCACTGGCTTCCGTGGATGTAGAAGGGTGCAGCTCTGCTTAAGGTTGCCCTGAGGATCTATGTACAAAATGCAGTGAAAGTGCTCTCCCAGCACTGAAGTTATGGATGTCTAAGACAGCCAAGTTATACAGAGTCAGACCACTGATCCATCTTCCCTACTACCATCCACTTTGCCTGTCAGTAGCTGCCTGCAGTGTCAAGCAAGCGCAGCAGCAAGAAATTGCATCACTGGAGATGACAGGGACTGAACCTGGAACCTCTTAACACCCAGTCTTTGGAAGCGCCTATCCAGCACCAAGGCAATGGAACAGCTTCTGTCACTGTTACTTTCATTCCTGTGTACCTTTTCGTTACGACAGAATTAGTGTCTGTACTGACTGGATTTTCTATTTGGTCACAAGATCCAGGCAAACACTGAAAACATCAGCACTCATGAAAACATCAGCACGCGGGACTCACCAGACACAGTGCAAATAGGGGAAGTTAAATGAGGACCAGATCTCGCAGAATACTTTGTCGCTGATCCAGCAGGAAAGTGCCAATGCCCACCACAGACCAGAAAAGAGTCCCAATTTGAACACTCGCAGGTTATCACACCTGAAAGCAAAGAGCAGGGAGGGGAAGGGAAATAATTATACAGGTGGTGACATACTAAATAAATAAAATGGTCTGAAGATTAAAACTTGATTAGTTAATGACTGGCACAAATTTCACAATCTATACAGTGAACCAAAGGGGAAAAAAATGTTCATGTTGTTGAAAGTGTTATTTATATTGAACAGGGAAGACTGTAATATTTTTTTATTTTAAAAATATGCTCATTCTGGGACAAATTCAGTGGAATTTAAACATTTTTAAGTTTCACCTCTTCGCATTGCACATTTGATACCCAGTGGATAATGTAATCATACTTAGCATGTATGTCTATCAAACTTTTCCCAGGTACCCAGAATGCACTACAAATCTTAGAAACCTTTACAGCAGCCTCATAAGATTTTGTTGTTGTTCAGTCGCACAGTCGAGTCCGATTCTTCGCGACCCCATGGACCAGATCCTCATAAGGTAGGACAGCATTATTATCCTCTACAGTACAAAGGGAAGGTTGGAGAGCAAACAGGATGCATAAGGCCACCCAGGGAGTTTATGATTCCGATGAAATTTGAATCCCGCACAACTTAACCCTTTCCTATATCCAGCACGTCATTCCCTTAACCACTTTCCTATACTAACTCGATTATGCCAACAGCTGTAAAAAGAGAAGCTCAAAATGCACTATAATAATATTAAAAATTTACTGCCTCTGCCAAAAATCAACTTGTCTTTTAGTCTAAGTGTTACCTCCCTAAGCAAAGAAGGCAAGTCAAGCAAAATACAGAGAACTTGATATGACCACATTAGATAAAAGTGCTGAATTTGGACTTGAGTTCACTACGCTGCTCGCTCAGGGATTAACTGAATGCTTTTCAGCAGTTCAATCTTTGTCATGCCCAATTCATGCGATGGGCCAAGTCTTTCTCATGCCCAATTCATGGGATGGGCCAAATCTTTGTCATGCCCAATTCATGGGATGGGCCAAATCTTTGTCATGCCCAATTCATAGGATGGGCCAAGTCTTTCTCATGCCCAATTCATGGGATGGGCCAAATCTTTGTCATGCCCAATTCATGGGATGGGCCAAATCTTTGCCATGCTCAGTTCATGGGATGGGCCAGCTCTGGAGATTACCCAGAAACATATGGTCCCAATTAGAGCTGCAGTTTCCACCAATGAAAATAAAGTAGATACTGACACAGTTACAGACCTTGACCACTGCAGATATATCCAGGGAACAACTCTACAACCATGGCACCCACAGCTGTCCAAGAGAATGTATGAAGCAGACCACAGTCAAGTTCCAATACACTTATTGCATGCCTCTTGCCTTGCCAGTGATTAGAATTGCATGACATGCATGGTTGCCACTTCACACGACTGGCTCACTACAGGAATTGATGTCCTCCCTGTTTGGACTTCTAACTACACTATAGAAGTTGCATCCTATTTCAGCCTCAGTTTCTCCAGCCCCATTCACAAACAGTTGGCAACACCCTGCTCTACTCATAATAGCTCAGTTATTTTCCAAAAAAGTTGGGATATAAAATTATTTTCACACCCATTCCAAAGCTTGGGACCGCCAGACTCCTGATGATACCCTTCCTCCCAAAACTTGCTGGGTGGCAAAGACAAGATGCCAGCAGGGAGGCCTTGTCACAAATTCTACAATAGAATCCAGAGCGCTGCTGTGAAAGGGGCCCAAATGCCAAGAAATCTGGAAGACCTAGTTCCCACGTCTCTTGCTGTCCCAACTAGGCAACCAGTACAATGCACTACAGCCTAGTGGAAGCTTCATCTACATTAGATGCAGCTGTCTTTATCAGTTCCAGAGAGGCAGCCACGTTAGTTTGTTGTGGTGGTAGAAAGTGCCCTCAAGTTGCAGACAACTTATGGTGACTAGAGGTGTGCACACACGCACACACACAAATTGGGATTTTTTAGTATGGTATTCAGATTTGGGTTTTTTTCTGAAATTCCAATTTATTTCTTTTTTGCTCCATTATACCCTATGTGACCATTATCTGGGGGTATGCAGGGGTCTGGGGGACGACAACTGTTTTTTGACTCTCTGGTTTGACATCAGTCCCTGCTTTTTTGCTGTCTTTTCCCTCCACTGGAAATAATGGAGGACGGGGGGACCTTCTTTGAACCTATAGAATTCTGAAACACTACATCCTTGGTCCATAGCCTACTTTATTGGTCCAATATTTTTGAAACTTTCGGGTTCTTTTTAATAGAGGCTCCAGAAACGCTCCTACAAATTTGGTGCCTCAAAAAACAGCCCCCACAGACCCCTGGATTAATTCCCCCTTACAGCCTATGGGGATCATTTACAATGGTCCCCACAGGCTATAATGGAGCTGAAGGCATTTAAAGGTGTCACGGTCCCTTTAAATGTGTTTGTGAAGCTGCAGCTAGATCTGGGCCATCCAGGTGAAGGTTTGTTGTAGCAATTTTTTTTTTTTTTTTTAAAGAGCCTTTTGGCACCTTAAAAACAAGTTCTTAATTCACAGATTAGAGCCTAGTTCCTTCCCAGTTAAGAATCTGTCTCATGTAATGGATGATCTGGGCTTCAACACACAACAGGTTATGCTGGATTTTAAAAACCGGTTAGTCTTTAAGGTGCTACAGGTCTCCTGCTTTATTTTTTCTTGATCAGCATCTCATTCCCCTCTGAAAGGGGAAACGCTGGCTTGGAAGTGAGGCCCACAGGTGCATCTCAGCTTCGTGACTTTGCCTTGCTTTGGTGGCAAAATGGGTTACACAAAGCAAAATGAAAGAAGTCTGACACACCACAAGGGATGCAGCCACAACAGTTATCCCCTAATTTATGTCACATGCATGGGGGCTTCCAAATGTAAATCCTCAATCAGCAGAACTGTTTCGCCCAAGACAGACGTAGACAAGACAGCTACCCACCTTCTAAGCTCTGCAACTAGCAGCAGAGTGCAGGGAATGCCCAGCGTCATCAGCGAGATGTTATTGATGGCCGGCTTAATGAAGGCAAGGCAAGTCGTGACTCCAGAAAGGATCCCTACTGCTGCTTTAAATCGGCCTCTGAATAAGACATATTTTAAAAAGTTACTCGGGCTTTAAATCAATAGAAGCAGTAAATGTCAACATGTTAAGATTGTGACTTGAAGTTGCATTTATTTGCAGTAACCATGCAACACACTGGGAGGGGGGAGTATGCCACTGAAGACACCACCTTTCAGCACACAGGTGAACTCCCCACAAGGCCCACCCCACCTCATCCCATCCCACCTCCCAGTGACTCTTTAAGTACAGCCCTCTTTGGAGCCTGGAATGCCAAACCTGAAAGTTCAGGGGGCCCCCCTGCAGCCCTGAGGTATAGATCCCTGGAGGATAACTCCTCCTCCTCCACGACCCTTTCCAATGTGACTATAAGGGCTGGGTCAGGGCAGGCTAGAAGGAAGGATGGGACAGAGGACTTAAAGAAGGCTCCACCAGAACTTTTGTTCACTTGGGTCAGGGAGATTCTGCCAGCCCAACTTTTGGGGGCTCGTACACATTTCCTTCTAGTATCCAGGACTTGGGAGAAGAAAAGGTAAAGTTCTACGGGAGTCATTTAAAGCACATTGGAAGGAAAAGGGGTTTTCTCAACAGTAATGGGGAAAACCTCCCCTAAAATAATTGTTTTGGCTGAGGGTTATTCAGGATTCCCAAGATTAACCCAACCTCAACTTAAGCCTTACTCAGCATCCTAACTGGTAGCCTCTATAGATCAGTGAACCCAGGATCAGCGCTAAAGCGGACTCTTCTGATTTTCCTTTAAAACACTGCCAAGAAAGGCAGTTTTGAAAAGGGGAACATTTAACCTCGTTAACACCCCTATCCAAACAGGCAGTTCCAGATGGCGGACTTTCATCTTGCAGAGTATATTTAGGTACAGTCACAAAAATACATGCATGTCTTGTTAAACATGGGAGAGGCACACTCATCTCACACCCCTTTAAAGGAAGCAGCTGGGAAACTTCCCACTACTTTTGCAGAACAGACATTCCAAAGTCACATGTCCTTTCATACTTGAGCAGCAGATGAATTTTCACTGTGGTGTGTACTTATACAAGTGCAAAATGTACAGGGATCACCCTTTCTGAGAATAACAGCAGCAGAATGGCTGAAACCCTTATTACTGGTTTCAAAATCTTTCTGTCACAAGCTACCGTCACGGGAACAGAGAATGTTGTGCAGCTGCCATCCAATCACACTCCAGAACCCTGCCTGCCTGATTCGTTTAAATTTGGGGTGGGTGGGAAGAGCAGAGAGTGTCAGCATCCTAACACAAGCAGCCAGTGTACAATTTCACAGGCATAAACAAGTTTCATAGGAGTCACAAGACTGGGCTGACAACAGCAAGCTGTGGCAAGCCTTGCTGCAAGCTATTTGTGCAGCATTCTGGTCGAAAGGTCAGCTTGGGGTACTCTGAAAAATAAGGAGATGCAAACCAGTTAGCAGCAGCAGCAAATCACAAAGAGTCAATTTTAGGAAGCTGGAAAGGTAAAGCTTGGCAGTTTAAGGCTTTTTACCCTTCAAGGTACCTTTATTTCTCTGTCTAGGAATCTCAGTGTGCTGTAGAAGCAGCTGAGGAATATTTTCTAAATTACACGGGTAATCTATGAAGGCCCAATGAGACTCATTTGTTGACATGTGTCAACCAGTGAGTGTTCCTAAAGTACATTCCCCTACAACTCCACACTAGCAAGGGGAGATCAGCTTGTCCATCACTACTGACTGTCACCTGCCAATTGCAGGTTGTTCAGAAAAGGCAAGTTAACATTACTTGAGACATTACCTGTCATTTCTAAATATTTTGGGCAGGTATCTTCTGGGAAACCACATGGCCAGAGCACACATCAGAACCCAGAGAATAGCAAGTTCATCGAGCATCTGACCCAGGAAACTAAGCGTAGCATGGAAGTAGACCGATCCAATTCCTAGGAGGACACATTTGAAAGTAAAAGGTCATTACAGCCTACAGGACTGCTAAATGCATTCTTCTCAGCAAGATTCAGTAAGAGCAGATGTTGTGCACGGATGATGCATGTTTGAAAATTAAAAATCCGAGTGACTAACAGGGAATTGGAATGATAAATTATGTGTGTATGCGTGCCAAAAAACAAACAAGCTGTATAACCAAGATTTCAGAAGAACACGTGGCATTCCTGGAAGTGTTTGGGTGGGATCTCAAGGTGATCTTGCATAACACTTTTTCAGGAATTATGAAAAGATGCAGAAGATAGGGGAAGGAAGAGAAATCCTGTCTAGAAGCACTCCACCCATAGTTCTTTGGAACTGACCCAAGGACTGCCAGGGTTTTGCCTGTAAAAAGAGTATTCCTATATAGAGGTTATACTCTTTTATAATCTCTGAATCCAAGAACAAGGAATGAATTTCTGTATCTCCTGACCCATTACTCCAGTAGTCCCTTCAAGTGCCTGTTCCAGCCTCCTATGGATGAAACCTGGGTCCTGTGTACCCTGGGAATCACATTTCCCCTTCCTGCCCCTTAAAATCTGGGGGGAAATTTCTGCAAGAGCAAGCAGCAGAGCCTTCTCTGTTACAGCACCCACACTACTTGTTAAGGAGACCCAAAATGTTCCACCTATTGCAAGTGAATACTTTTTTTTTATTTTTGGAAGAGTTGGGGGAGGGGGCAGTGGTATTTGAAGATTTGATTTTATACAGATGGTTCAGGGATGCTGTTTTCACTGGATGTTATAGCACTGCAGTACCATTTCATACATATTTACTTATTACTAAGTTCCCATTAAGGTCGGTGTAGCTTACTTTCAAGTAAGCAAAGACAGGACCTCTCCAGTATCATTTTATGTCTTTAAAAAATGCTGTGCATCACTCCGGATGAGTGACTGACCAATACGATAAATTAAAAAGGGAAATAAAATTGCCTCGATGCAGAATTAGCAAGGCAGGATGGGTGGGTAAAAGGGCCAGTGGAGTACAAGGCTTGATAATGGAAGCACGCGTGTGAATCGGAAGGCCAAAAGGGACCGATGGATCGAAAAGCAGAGAGGTTCCATCTTCTCTTGCCACCTAGAGCCAAAGGCTACTGCACCCCACAGGATTTGTGGTGAGTGACACCATCTTATTTACAGCAAGCTATACGGAGAATGAGAACGGAAACAGAAGTAGAGCCATTACGGTGGCCTGGTTAGAATGTCAGACAAGGATTTGGGGGACTCAGGTTCGAATCCCCCCTCTTCCATGACAGCTTGCTGGGTGACCTTGAGCCAATCATACAGTCTCAGCCTGTCCTACCTCAAAGGGTTGTCAAGAGGACAAAACAGAAGGAAACAGACCCATGTTTGCCATCCTGAAGTCCTTGGAAGAAGAATGGAATAAAAATATACTAGACAGACAGAAGCGTCTTATGCTTCTGAATCAGACAATTTTTATGGCAAATATGAAAAGCAGATTTTTCCACAACCACCCTGTGCTAGTCTACATCTGAAAAATAGAATTTTCCTTTGTTTTCAAGTCACGTATGCTCAGTCTCATAGAAAGACTTACCAACCACCACTAGCAGGGTCCATATTAAATATATTCCACTGTTGAAGCAGGATGCATATTGTCGGAATAAGCACATACATATAGGTGGCAAAACAAAAAATAAGATGTTGCTTATCTAGGGGGAAAAATGAAATAAATGTATTAAATAAGCAGGAAGGAATGGTGAAATAAATTCATATGATCATTTTTATTTAGATTGTTAGAGGGGGGGAAATATCTGGTTAGTGTTTAAGGTTTATTAAGACAGATGGACTGGGGAGCAGGACCCAGGAGCAAATGCCAGGACTGCCCTGCGTTTCCCCTTCAGCAAGACCACTCAGCCCCCCCATCCCCAACCCACTGATAATATGTAGTCTGCATACTATACGAGTAGTCACTCTTTGAAGATAGGCTAACTGGTGATACAGGATGTACCATGTGGCAGAAGCACTAAGGGGAGACTGTGACATCCCTGGGTGAGAGCAAGGAAGGCTTGGGGGCCTGACAATGCGTACAGTAAAACCTACTCTCCTGCTGCCACCATCCCACTCTGCTCAGAAGCTGCCACCATCCCACTTTGCTCAGAAGTCCAAAGCGACACCTCAGCCCGACCTATTCATATAAACATGCCCTGGAGTGGTACCCTTTCATTCACTAAGCAAAACTTGTATCACACTTGCTGAAAAGGTTGGCCCAGACTCTGCCAGGCAGTATTCACATGTACAAAAATAGTGCAAGGTGAATCTTATAAGGGCTTTTCAGGATAGCATGCCTGCTTTCTGTTTATCCGTGATTTTTTGTTCAGGAGATAATTCAACACACTTTGTCTAAAGGAGGACCACGTTCTGGGATTAGGATATTCTCCAGAAAGAATGTCATCGTTCTCTCTGTGATGAAGACAGCCACCCTCAGAACAGTTCACGGAGGCCCAGTTTGCTTCAACTACACAGGAACAGAATGTTAACATTACTCCCTAAAGGGAATTGGAACAGGTGCTGGTGCCAACCCGATTACACATAGCCTGGACTTTGGCAATGGAGCTTCTTCTGGCAGGAGGGTGCCCTGAGACAAAGCACAACGGAAGGCTCAAAGAAATGTAACAACAACTTTTAAAAGAAGAGTTGTTTATTTATTTATTTAAAGTCAAGCTTTACTATATGAAGTAGGCATATACATCTAGATCATTTGCAAATCTGGTTTTAAACCTTAAACACTCTACCACTCCAACCCCGTTTACACCACCTTTTATTTAAAACAAAACCTTTGGGGGGGGGGTACAGTAAATACGGTAGTTTGCTTTGAATTTGAAGGAACAGATGAGACTTAACTTCAACATCCAACTGTATGAAAAATATTCCAATGGTATAGTTGCTTAAAATCCTCAGCTAGATTCGACAAAAGCCACTGGCCACTGACCATTTCCCAGAAGGGCCACTGCCTGGAACTTAGCAAGCTGTAATTAGATACAATCTGAGGGGAGGGAAATTATCACTCAGCACCAGAAAGCACACCTTGTATGTATCCCGACCACCACCTCCAGCTAAAGGAGCCTTTGTCTTTAATAGCAGGCTCTAGCTGACCCACTCGGAAGCTGCTGCCAGAAAAGTGGGAAGGACGAATGATCTAACTCATAACTACACTACAATCCAGTCCAGCTAAGCACATCAAAGCCTCATTAATTATGGTTAATTTAAGCGTGTGAAATCAGTGGGGCTTTCAAATGCTTACCTTAGCTTAGACTGAATCACTCCCTTGGTACCAGCACATCCTACAGTTCTGGTTTGGCATTCCAGTACCTGCCAAGAATGTATTTTTTTTTCTTTTATTCCCCCATTTCCTGCTGTTCAGTATTACTTATCTTTCTGCATTCTCCATAATTAGGAGCAAAGTAAATTATGCAAAATTAACATCGGGCCTTTTTATTAAAAAAAATAATTGAATATTCATACACTATTGCTTTTGGTAAAGAATCTGGTTTCTTGAGTACGGAAGAATTTATCTTCATGGAAGCACAGCGTGCGACCTGAGACAAACATATGAACAGTTTAAACAGTGCCTGACCTTTGCTAGGTGCTACGCACAGGTGTGCTTGCTGAACTGTGCAGGGGACCCACCCAAACTATTAAATATTTGTCCACACCCTTGGTATCCAGGCTTCAGTGGTGAACCTTGATCCAAAGCAACCCAGAAAACAAGCCAGTTCAGACACAGGAATGCAGAGTTCCTGCATACAGACATTAGAATGTCATTTGTTCGCATTTTAGCTCAGTGTTTGGAAGGGCTTTTCCGGGGTGTGTGTGGTTTAGATCCTGTATAACAGAGGCCCTGAAATGAGACACGCCCATTCAGTCTTGGGTCCTGCTTTCTTCTCCGACACACCTGCTCTAGTTAGTGTAATAACAGTTAATGCAACAATTCCAAAGGATCTGAAGTCTGGCTTTAATCCAAACCACATCATTGACAGTGGAAGAGAACAGCACTGTAGGTATGTACTCTATAAACAGATCTCACTGAGTTCAGTTCACTTTATGCCCTATGTCCATAAGAGCAAGATTGTAAGAATCAAACCTATTGTTGATCTCAGCTCAGTAGTCCATCTGCAAAATGGGAATAACAGCAATTTGTCTTAGTCTCCTTCACCTACCCACAGGTGTCAAGATACACGAAACTGAGAAGTTATCCACTCAGAGCATTAGCAGTGAAGTTGTCACTAAATACTAACCATACTTAGCATTCATCCAGGCTTGTAAAACTGTTTCACATTAGTTTGCTCAGTGATCCTTATAAACAACCCCTATAAGGTAGGTCAGTATTATCTGTTCTATTGAATGCACTGATCCATAAGGAATGCAGAATGCGGAGACAGAGACGCATGCTTTCAGCAGCTAGGTAAGATTTAGACTTTCTAGTTCATAGCATGCAATGCAATCCATAGCATATATACTCAGAAGGAAACCTCACTGAGTTCAATGGGATTTACTCCCTAGTAAGTATACTGCAGCCTTGCACTGCCACTCTAAGAGGAGTTGCACCTTTCTAAACCCACTGGCATTTAATGGGACTAGAACAGGGCAGCTCTGTTTAGGATCGTACAGTTACACAGCAATCCTAAACAGGTATATTCAGAAGTCCTACTTGTGACTCTAGTTCAGTGGGGCTTACTCCCAAGGAAGTTTTTTTAGGATTACAGCCTCTCAGTGCAATCCTAAAAACAGTTTCCTGGGAGTAAGCCCAAGTAGACCTGCTTAGGCTAGCTCTCAGTCTGCTAGCCACTGTACACCATTATGGCATAAGAAAATGAGCTGGAATATTTGTTTTTGCATGAGAGGGGAAATAAATCAGGATACATACACAGCCCTGTTCTCAAAGAACTGGGGTCAGAGCAGAATGGTATAAGAAAATGGTCTCTAGAAGAACTATTTTTGTTAAAACCGTCTTCTGATTCTGATGTGTTTTCCATTCAAACTATTAATTCTGAAGGACAACGCTCGAATTCCTTTTTCCGGCACGAGATCTTATCACTCCACAGTCCCAATGAAAAGGAAGCACATTAACATTTTAGCATACTTCCCTGGCAACCAGAACATGCTTGGCAAGTGTGAAGTTGGACTGTTCAAGATCATTCTCATTGCTTTAAAGATTAATGCATTAATTCATCTTGTTTGAGAATGGTGCCTTGTCGGAGGTAACACAGGACACGACCATGTGCTGTGCAGTTGGGGGAATCAGCTCATGTGTGGGGAAAGCCACCCATCTCCAGAAGCAAAAAAAATTGTATAATATTCCTCAAGAGATGTGTCCAGTTCTCTGTTGAACCCAGTAAGATTCTTTGCTCCCTTACTTCCAGGGAAACTAATCCACTTCTAAGTGCTAGATGCCTAGTTTCAGTGTCCAGACAAAAAATGGTCATTTCTCATGCAACACCACTGGTCTCTGACAAGACCAGACGGCCAGTCTCATTAGAAAACCTGCCAGAAACTCACCGCATAAGGTACACACAGAGATGATAACACACAAACTAACCCTACATTCAAAATACCTACCGCAGCATATTGCAGAGCTGATAGGTGTTTACTGAGCTCATTAGAAGACATAAATGCCTCCCGGGGGGGTTTAATGTGCAAAGTTATTAGCCTGGGCATTTAGCCTACAAACAACTTTGATCCAATTCTGGTGGGGATAACTGTGGAGGATGGGCGTTGCAGTACAATGTTCATAACCCATTACATGCTCAACAATAGCTGAAAAATTGTTAGTTGGGAAATGGCAATAAGAAACAATAGGCTTGTGTTTGGCTTACTATTTTTTAAAAAATAAATGAGACTGAACTCTCTCCTGATATTATGGAAAGTTTCCTAAGTTTGAGGAAGTTTAAGCGGCTGTCTAGAAACAAGCCTGCATCTTTGTGTACTTTTTTTCTTTCTTGGAACTGTAGGTTAGTGTGCTCAGTTTACTTATTTTTCCGTATACATTTTAAAACACATCTTCTAGTATAAATAATGCCATTTTAAAGGATTCCTGAGATCCAGGTTCTAGCCAGAAACACCATACAAAATATTTGATTAAAATATTACGCAGCAATAACCTTTACATAACTCTTTGCCAAATAAACATTATGTGGCTTTTAAAAAAATTAATTTTAATGATACGAAACAATAGTAACTACTGTGGCTTACGTCAGTGTGTTTTCAGTATGTTTTCCCACACAGTGGTTCGAGATGCTCTCAGCTCTAGGGTTGGAGCCATTCAGAGGATTTGACCCTGACTTCAACAGGATCGAAATGGCACATTTATACCAAAACCTATGTAACCACAAACTGAAGGGTAACATGAAAGAAGCAAAGAAGTTTTGCTGTGGTTTTTCTGCTTTCACTCCTGTGTCCTGCTTAGGCATAGATGATGAAGGTTAACGAGCAAGGAATGGATAATTCTATCCTCACGAAAAGGGCTGGATGTGGTCTTGGACTCCCTTTCAAGCTGATCATCCCATGAACAGGACTGAAATGAATAAACAGCCAGACAACATCACAATATGACTGTATTGTTAGGCCACTGCTCACATTCCATGAAAACTGATTCCATGAAAACAGAATCTAGAGTGCCAGCAAGTAAACTTGACAACACTGAAGCATCAACACTGCCATGGCAACCGGCTCCCATTCTATTCTAATGAAATAGCACACGCTTCTGACATTACTAGGTTTGGGAGAGTGTCAGGGGTGAAAATAAGAGTCGTCTCACTGCAAATAAGCAGTGAAAGACACCAGTAAAAGTGACTAGTAAAAATATTTATGAGCTTGTAACTTTTATGAGCTTATTTGGAAAGCTTAACTAACACGATGCCTATGTGGAAGCAAAGATGCAGGTGTCCAGGCCAGAGCTTTGCAGGCACCTTGGGACAGATGACCCACGGTAAGCCTTTCCTCAGTTCAACAGCTGAAACAGTTCCCCAGGCGCAGCCCAGCCCTATGTGGGATTAGCAGTTAGAGTGTGAGACTGGGCTCTGAGAGACCCAGGTTCAGAATCCCTGTTCAGCCATGGCAGCTTGCTCGGTGTTTTGGGGCCCACCGCTCTCTCTGCGCAACCTACCTCACAGGGTTGTTGTGAGAGTACAAGGGAGGGGAGAATGACCTTGTAAGTGACTTTGGGTCCCCATGGGAAATTAAGTAAACCAACCCAATAAACAAGTACCCCACTGTGCTGAACAGGGCTGACCCTGGGGTGCATGAGGCTGCAATCTACCCATACAGTCATGTACCTGTTAATTCCCATGTACGACCCAGTGCGTTGAGCACTGTTTAGTCCCACATAAATTCCATCCTCAAAATGCTTAGCTTGTATTTTAAACATGACATGTGGTATACTGACGCAGCGCTTTGCCCCAAGACCAGCAGGCTTGGACATGAACCGAGGTCCAGCTTCTCCGAGAGACCACCCACACAAACCGGCTGGCGCATGTTGCCGTGATACCAGGGCATTCACACGTGCCCCGAGGCCACCATTCGCGGGGTCTCTGCGTGGGACTGCACGGCGCGCCTTGTGGAAGGGAGGGGGCTGCGGAAACGAGGCGCCGGGGCGGGGGGGGGGGGGCCCAAGCCCAGGGGGCCCCCCCCCCCCACCCCCCGACGCGCTCCGGATACGCACCGTGTTGTAGAACTCGGCGATGGTGGGCACGATGGTGTAGTTGTCCTCGCACCAGTCCACCTCGGAGCTGCCGGCCCGCAGGTGATCCCACCAGCGGAGGCTGATCATGACAAGCCCACCCGCGCCCCTCGAGCCTGCGAAGCGACACTACCGGACTGAGCCAGCGCTGGGGAGGCGCGGCAGGCGCCCCGCACCGCTCCGGGGGGCCGCTCAGACGGGTCCGGGCGACATCGAGGAGGCCCCGAGAAGACACAAGGCGGAGGCGGCGCCGATCCGCTTCTTCTCTTCCCTCCCGCTGCTGCCGCTCCGGGCGGATATGAAGCGCTCCGCGACAGCTCGGTCGCCCGCAGCCTGTTGGACACCCGAGCAGCTCCTGCCTCCTTTGGGGCGCTCTCGGAGGCTGGCAGCCCGCACAAGGGCACGCCTCCGCCGCCCAGCTGATCCGGCCGCCAGCCCGGTCCAGTCTCCGGCACGCTTGCGCCGCAGCGAGGGGCTGTCACGTGTTGCGTCACCGAATCCTTCTTTGAACAGACACGCGCACACACACACACGACACGCTCACTCGGGGGTAAGAGCCGGTGAACCAAAGCCGTACGTGTTTACTTCCGAGTAAACGTGCGTGGACTAGCTGATGGGGGGGGGGGCGCTTGCAACTGCCTCCCTCGCCGTTCCAAAGACCCGGGACGGGAGAGTTGCAAAGAGAGCGGTGGAAGTAGAGGAAGACACGGACGGAGGCTGCAGTGATCACGAGCACCATGTAGCCGGGAGTGACTTCTGTTAAATGCATTGGTTTTTCTTTTCATCTGCAGGCTTTCTGTTTTGTTTTTTTTAAAATTTTTAACTGCTTGCTCTGTTTTGTTTTTTAGCCTTTTCCAAACGAGTCACCTTGTGCATTCTGGAAAGGTGGGATATAACGGCTACAACGCGAGCCTGTGCGCTAGTGGCATTACCTCCCGAATCGTGCACTAGGACCACGTTAAATCAGAGAAGAGTCAACGTACATTGCCCACAGAAGGGGCAGAGTGCTGGGTCGTGCCACTCTCGACTACAAAGCGAGGGGGAAATAACTTTTGAAACTCTCTTAAACTGTTCTTAAGCTATTCTTCCTTCTTATAGCAAGACAGCACGTCGGAAAGAACGGTTTAGCGTCGCCCTCTTTCTCCGAGGCTACATTTCACATGGATGGACAGGCATTCAAACTTGATCCCCCCCACTTTCAAGCCGAAGTGGTACGGTCCAGGTTTCTACCACTCTCCCAGTCCCTCTATTCTGTGTATTCCGTCGTCTAGTTTTCCGGCCTGCCTTAAACATGCTGCACAGTTAGCTGGCCGACCCGCTTGTGAACGAGGACAGTCACAGCGGATGTGAACCATAATCGCTGGGGGGGGGAGCCATTTCTGAATGCTCACCCACGTAAATATTGCTTTAAAATAAAAGCCTTACAAGGCCATCAAGGTGCAAAGTTTTTTGTTTCTTGCTGTGCTGCTTATCAGCTTGCCAGAAGGGAGTTTTGGTTTTGTTCTGCTCAAAAACGTGGTTTCTCCCCCCCCTCTCATAATCTGCAGTGGAGCTATCTCCTTCCAGGGCAATCCTATAAGACTTCTCAAATAAGGGACAGAGCACTGAGTTCCTTTGGTAGTACAGTCCTTTAGCTTTAAATAGTTGTGGTATTGGGGGGGGGGGGTCTGGTGTAAGCTCACCAATCCAGATAGTCAGCACAAAAGTCTCTGGCACCTTGAAGAATAGACTTGTTTACTGCTTCCAAGGGGGATGACACTTATACACACTTGCAACTACAACCTACAGGCTGAACTAGAACAAACTGTGGCCCCTCCCATACAGGGTAGATAGGGGAAACACAAACTGGTTTATGAGCACTCAGTTAAAGGCATCTGTATTTCCCAAGTGTGGAACCCTTATCATACCTAAATCTGCGGGTCGGGACCATACTTACCCAAAACAGATTTTTCTTCAAACTTGGGTGACCCTAACCCCAAATTTGCAGGAAAATTCTGAAATCTTTCAAAAATAAGAGGGATAATTCCCCCCAAAGTAAAATCCTCTATACCTTGGGCATGGTGGTTGGTGGCTGCAGTCGCTCCCAATAGCTGCACTGGGCCCAGTGTCAGCTGCAGCAGGCTCAGCGAAGCAGCAGCCAGGGAGCTGCAGCGGGCCACAGACTTGCAATGGGGAGGGAATCCCACCTCCCCCTAGTTTCTCGCTGAGCCCATTACAGCTCTGGGATTCTTTCACAGCCACCAGCAGACCTGACTTGGCTCCCAGGCTGCTTTCCCACCAGTGCTGGGGCCACTGTGCTGGGCATTGGTGAAGCAGCCCGGGAGCCACAGTGGGCCTGCCAGCAGCTGCAAGAAAGCTCAGGAGCCGCAGTGGGCCCAGTGGCAGCAGCTAAGCAGCCTGGGAGCTGCAGTGGGCCCACCAGCAGCTTCAGGAGTAGCAGTCAGCCCTGCAAGAAAGTGGTGGAGATATGGGATTTCCCCCCCCCCCCCGTGAGTTTCAACAGGCCCATACCTGTACACATATATATCTCACATTCCCCTTCTTCAAGCAAATACTGTCGGCTTATTAAAACCACTTCAGAACGGGGAGTCAGAGGTCTCTAGTACTTCTCATCATTGGGGATTAGTCTTGACCACTATCCCATAATATAGTCCTGGAATTTTGCAGGCAACCTGTTTGCAGGTATCACTCCTTCTGTCGTGAAATAGTTAATCTGTTGTTTATGTATGTTAATGTTAGCTAGTTAGCATAGAGCCAGTTAGGTGTTGGGCATGTCCCCCCCCCCACCAGAGAATGGGAGGTACTATTCCTAATGAAATGAGTTTGCGAATCACTATTGGCCGATTAATATATTGAGGATGCTACATGCAGTTTGTCATGTACGCAAGAGGTGGGGGCTTTGGGGGTAAACTTGCTCTCCTTTGTTCTCACCCACACAGGAGTTTGAGCAAACAAACAAGCAAGATGGAGTGTAGAACTAGTTAGCTAGTTCCTCCATGTAACCCTTCCTAATTTTTTAGTAAACTTTAATCTTTTTTCTTACAAGCTAAGCACATGTGTCTGTGTCTGCATCATTTTTCTGCTGTGCATCAGCGTTCTGCTAAGCATATCCAGCACAGCCTCATGCTCACTCCATGTTTGCCTACTTACTCCAGTTGTTTCTTCCACTCTTACTCAGGTCAGCCTTTCTGATTGGGGTGGTGCCTGAGCAAGGGGCTTTTCACCTATTGCCTCCTGAGTTTGGTGTAGCCTGAGCCTTGAGTAAGCAGTTTTAGGGGTGACATCATTGTTGCATGCAAGGCTCAGGGGCTGAATCCACCCAAAGGTGTTGCAGCATATTCTCTGTGGGGGGCTGCTACGTCAGCAGCTTGCAGATCATTTCCCATCCTTGGAGACGGTAGGTACGGTGGCCACCTGGAAGTCTGTGCACTCTGTAGAGTGCTATAGAGTAGAGAAGCTGACCTTGGCTGTGGCGGCCTTTCTTTGGGGTGTGCTGCAGCACACTCTATAACCAGAAGATGGATTTCCCACCCTGGGGCACACTGCGATTTTATGTCCCAAGAGTAAGGACTGCCCCACTCCCAGGACCACCGGAGAATGGAAGATTTGTATTCACTTACAGGCCAGTGGTCCTTCTAGTCCAGCATCCTGTCTTACACAGCGGCCAACCAGTTCCCCTGGAGGGCCAACAACAGGGCAGAGAGGCTGAGGCCTTCCCCTGATGTCAGCTCCTGGTGCCTCTGAACATGGAGGTTCCCTTTAGTCACCATGATTAGTAGCCACTGATGGATCTATCCTCCATGGTTCTATCTAGTCCCCTTTTAAAGCTGCCTATGCCTGTGGTCATCACCAATGCTCCCTCTAAGCTGTGGAGTCTTTTGATCTGAGAAAACCGACCCTGTTCCAGAGGGAGGAGCCTATTTCCAAGAGTAAGGACTGCCCCACTCCCGGACCACCGAGAAGGAAGCTTCACAGTAAGAGAATACAAATCTTCCATTTTATAGCAGTAGTTTGAGAAAGAATGTAAGGAAGAGAGGAATTCTTTGATGCTGGAACCATAGCAGGAATCAGAACATCTTGCTTCTTATTATCGCCATGGGCCAACGCAATGGATTTCAAATTTGAATGCAGTGCTTCCAATCTGGTTAGCATATGAGATTGATCAGAGGGTGGCAATCTGCTGAAACAGCCATGTAGATTGGAGTCAATTTGATCACAGTGGGCAGCTGAGCCATTTACATCATCAGAATTTATTGTTATTGGAAGATTATCACACTTCTGTCGTTTCTTGTAGGGAGATGGTATTGTCAGATCAGTATGCAACAGAAAGTCATGGTTGGACTTCAAGCTTGAAGGCAAAGAAGATTTTCCAGGAGAATTACTAGTTATTCGTTTTGGTACAGAATTTGCTTGTTTACTAATAGGACCCTCCAGATGCTCTTGAAAGAGCGGCTTCACATCAGGATTGATGAAAATTTCACTTGATGTTAATGTTACCCATATGATCCCTCTCAGGGGTCTTGTTGTAGAAAAAGAGCTGCCGGAGCTCATTAGCATAACTCATTAGCATAACTTATTTGCATATGCCACGCCCCCTGACATCACCGGAAGTGACAGAAGGCCACACCCCCTGACATCACCGGAAGTGTGTCAGAAGGCCCGGCTACTTACCCTCCTGCTTCATCCTCATTCCCAAACGGAATGAGGATCGAAGCAGAGGGCGGGGTAAAGAAGGGGGCGGGGCTTCACCACGTGACCGCCCCGCCCCCTAGAGGTTCTCTTCCGGAGCTCCGTACCTGAGAGCTCCCCCCCGACTAGAGCCCTGATCCCTCTTATCTAAAAGAAGGGAAGGGAACAACAGTACCAACTTTTGGGTATAAAGGGTTCTTGAGACCATTCTGATCTTCTTTATATTGATTCTCAAAACAGGTGTCTACAGCAAAAAGGACAGGTGATGTTTGATTTGCCACTTAGAGGACCAAAATATTGTTTTCCTTTGATAAGGTGAAATTTCATGGTAAACAGAATATGGAACATACTTGACAGTACCAAAGCAAAAATATTTTGAGCAATCCTTTTAGGAAGTTAGGCAATACCTATGA